TCCTAAGCTTGGGAAACATGTACTGTACTGAGACTGACACACAAATTACTCAAAGGTCACCTTATTCAGCCTTTCAAGAGGAGTCCATCCCACTGATAGCATCAGCCGTTTTTCACTGAAAGGAAACAAAGAACCTGTTTTGATGACAGAAATATCGCTACTGCTGTTTCTTAGACGCTGCTAGATTTTGCTTTTCTCTGCACTGAAGTACTTCACTTGTTTCTGGCTCTTGTAAGGATTTAGTTTATTTTCATGTTGTAAAAAAAAAAAAATACTGTATGGTACAAAGCCACAGGATTAAAATTAATTGAGAATCCACACACTGTTCTCTGGCAGCAGATTGTTTACTTGTTTGTCGGGTGCATGTGTGTGCCAATTCAATGTCGAACCAAGCCAACTTGGTGTGTGTGTGTGTGTGTGTGTGTGTGTGTGTGTGTGCCTTTGCACTGTGTCAGGGGGAATAGCCTGTTGGGGTTATGGAGGGTGCAGCGCGGGGTGATGAATAGGATGCTTTTGTGCTCGGGCCCCACAGCTGTCTACAAACCAGTGAAGGAGAGAAAGGTGAGGGAGAAAGGGGGTAAGGTAAGAGAGATAGCCAAATAAAGGGGAAGAAAAGAGCGAGGGAGATAAAATAGCGCAGAGGAGATGAGAGCGTCACTGCTCCGCGTGGGGAGTACAGGTGAGATACTGGGAGCTGAGAGGTGAGAGAATAGGTTTAGAGGTGAGGAAGAGAGGTGGGGAAGGGGGGATGTGAGAAAGGAAAGGAAAGAGAGACTGCTTGTGCATTCAAGAACACTGCACCGTTGTCTCTTCAGCCAACACAGAGACAAAGACGTTGGCTAATGTAGAAAATCGTTGACATTCATGTGCATGGACAAAAACAAAAAATGCCTCCAAAAAAATAAGAAAAAAGAGGGCGAGAGAGGAAGCAGACCTGACCTCATGGCCTCAACCTTCACACATGATGGGGTTTGAAAATGAGCCAATCATAGTGAGTGATGCTGATGAGTTCGGCCAAAGCTATTGGTGTTGCTGTGGCCACTTTAACACCTATCACATAAGGACAACCACTGGACTGTTTCTACTACAAAAAAAAGAACATTTAAAAAAAGTAAAATACATTTTAAATGGCACTGCATTACAATAGAGGCCGATGTGGGAGCACCAGAAGGTCAACTGTGATGCAAAGTCTTGATATGTGATATTTCAGAGACCTTTAAAGCACTTAAAACATTAAACAAGCATCACATGAGAAGGAAAACACCAGAAACCTTTCTGACCTTAGACTTAAAGCAGAGCAGAGACAGTTTGCAAAAAAATAAGCTGTCTGCTGACAGGCAGGGCTCGATATATTTTCAGAGCTGAGCATCAGAAATTGTCAACTGTCAACTTGTGTCAAGTATTTTTGACCAAGTAGATCCTTATTTACATCCACTTTTAGATTTCACTGTAGCAACATTCTCGAGAGGCTGTTTCGCCAATGTTTATGCAACCCCAAATTCAAAATAGTTAGGACACAGAATGCAATGATGTGCAAATGCCATAAACTAAATATTTTATTCACAGTCGAACACAGAAAACATATCAAAGGCTTAAAATGACACATTTAACTCTTTCATTTAAAGTATTGGCTCATTTTGAGTTTGATGACAACAACACGTCTCAAAAAAGCTGGAAAAGTAGGTGGTACTAAAAAGAAACAGCTTGAAAGTAACTGGCTTACTTAGCAATCGGTCAGTAACATGATCTACCAAAGCCTGGATCTACAGATGGTGGCTCAATTTCAGATGTTCCTCAACTTAAAATTGCAAAGACTTTGAATATCTTATCATGTAGAGTACATAATATCAGCAAGAGAGTCCAAGAATCTGGAGAAATCTCTGTGCGCAAAGGCTGAAAATCAATATTGCGTGTCTGTGATGTTCGGTCTCCCAGGCGGCAAAGGGTGTTTTCATGGAAATCACTGCATGGGGTCAGGAACACTGTGTATATCCATATATGCAGGTTAAAGCTCTATCAGGCAAAGAGGAAGCCACATGTGAGCATGATCCAGAAACACCACTACTATGTGGTTAGACAGAAACAAAATTTGAAATTCTTCATAGAAAACATGAACTAAAGAGAAGAGAGACCATCTGGCTTGTTCAGCGCTCAGTTTAAAAGCCTGCATCTCTGATGGTATGGAGGTGCATTAGTGCCTGTGGACTTGGCAACACATTGGCACATCTGGAAAAGCACCATCCGTGCTGAAAGGTATATACAGGTTTAGAGCAACATATGCTCTCATCCCTTTCAGGGAAGGCATTTCATACTTCAGCAAGAAAATGTTAAACTGCATACCGCACGTATTACAAGAGCATACCTTTGTAGTAGAAGAGTGTGGATGATGAAATGACCTACCTGCAGTCCTAGACCAACATCTGGCATGTAGAGTCTTATATCAGAAGCAAACTTAACTGCAAAAGTCCAGCAGCTGCTCTCCTAAGTTACCAAACTTTTGCAGACTGTTGGTTAAAGTAGAGAGGACGCTGCACAGCTGTAAACGTGACCCTGTCCAACTTTTTGAGATTCATTGATGCCATCACATTTAAATCCCCCTTATATTTTTCATAAAATGGCACATTTTTTCAGCTCAAATTATGTTCTCTATGTTCTGTTTTTAATAAAACGTGAGTTTATGAGACTTGAAAATCACTGCACTCTATTTTTAATTACATTTTACACAGTGTTCCAGCTTTTTGGGGACGCAATTTGGGTTGTACATTTAGCATTCAAGAATATACTTTAATACAATGAAAACTGCCTTAGTGATCACTAAAAAATTCTAAAAGGCATCAGTCCCAGTTCTTCACATGTGTAGACACTGTCGTGTTGTCTGACAGTATTACGTGGAACAACTGTTAGACAGTTTGCTCAAATAAAACAAAGGCTCTGCATGTTCTGGTAAGCTGCAGCAGGAATGCTGTTGGAGAAAATGTGAACATAAGTAAATATAAATAAAGCAAAATACTGAAATAAGTATTCTTATTACTTCAGAGCTGTGTGTAATTGCACTGAAATGAGGTCGATTATGTAGATTTGCCTGTATTTTATTGATGAAGAACCCAAAGAAGCAAAGAGGTAAATACATCTCTCTATCCAAATACGTGTGTTCACTTACCCTTCTAATCTGACTCTCTGTACAGTACGTTCCTCATGTGTTCTGTTTTACATACATAAACATTACTGAGGTGTTGAGTCATCGATAACAGGAAGAAAAATGAAAAAATAATGAATTAAGCTTAATAGAATCTCTGGTTTATGTTGAGAAAAGCTGCAAAACAACATTTTTTTACATTTCTAGACAACTGTGAATAACCATACCATTTATCTCGAGGTGTATCTTTCCAGTGTATCTGACACGCATTTTCATTTTCATCCCTCTCCAAATCCTCCCAAGAACACTTAAAATAATGCAACAGAAAAAGAAGAAGAAAAATCGCCTGTTGATTCAGGCACACGGATGCCCGATCCTGCTCGCTCTTATTGTTTTGTTCTGCCTGTTTCCGAATGAGAATTGTCCTGGAATAACTAACCCTAGCGTGGACAGATAAATGCATTCCATCTTCCCACACCAGGGTTCTCTGAGGCGATCGCAGCATGACTTTTCTATGATGAAACAGCAGCAAGCGGTGGAGGGCTGAGGGAGTGGGCGAGCAGGACACAAACTGCTTTTCTCCACAAACAGCAGGATGAGATGCGGAGCTGGCAGCGATATGGCATCCATACCACGAGCTCAGCCAACACAGCATGCGTCCTCACACTTGCTTTGCAAAGTCATAGGCTATCCACATCTTCTGACCACATTTGACTAATAGCATATGCGCGATATAAACACACTGAGTCAACTGAGCTGTGTACGAGCAGGCGGATTTGCATGTTAACAACGACAAATGTCTCGCGCCTTCATTTGTTTCGTGCGGCTTGTAAAGCGACTGTTACTATCAAAGAGTAATCAAAGATATCCTGAACAGCAGCAAACAATGGCAGAACAGTGTTGATGAAGCCAGGTGATGATGTAGGGAGGCAGACATCATTAGCCCCCATCATCACACTTCATCAGAGTAGAGGGAGTGTGCCCGCTCTGTTAGCGTAATGAGCTGGAAGTATGAACAAAAGCAGATGGCTTTATGAGTCAGACAATAAGGCACTCATAATTGAATCTATATCATTCATTTCAATTTAAGCAGTCAAGCCATTTTTCCTCCTTTCTGTATCTCAATAGAAATCCTTAATCAATGCATTGAGGAGCTGCCATCATAATGAATCAGGCGCACTTCAATGAGACTTTTCAATTCTGCTGGGAATAATTCATGAAGGCTGAAAGAGAGGTAAAGTACAGCGCAGCCTGTGCTGTATGATAAAGGTAGGAACAAGTATTTCCCATCTTAACATCTGTATGAAAGAGTGTTTATTTTTACCACACATCATCCATAAAGGGACTAACATTACCTTATTACACACAGGAATGTATGCCGTATGACTAATCATACTATAACATTACATATTTTTTTTATATCCCTATAATCTACTCATTAAATCTACCAAGTTGGTTACCCTTTCTTCGAGTTTATACATTCATAAGACTAGTTGCAGGCTAACATTCTGGAAGAAAACCAAGTTATGGCTGACAACAAGCACAGGGTATGATTCACAAACCCCTTGCACATGACACCGGCTGTCAATCACCCAGACTTTACCATCACCTCCAAAGTATTTGTGCAGAAAGCACCGAGTGAAACTTGGCGGCTGCTGGAGCTTCTCTAATCTGTTTTCCCTCTTGAAGAGCTCACAGCAGGACGCTTTGCCCGTGGAGCAATTAAAGCCTCTTTCTTAATCCAGCTGCCCTTGACTGCAAACAACTGGAAGTCCTCTTCCCTTTCCTTCCTTCCTCCTCCTACACCACCTCCTCCTTCTGTTTCTCCTCCGCCTCGCTAGACAGCAAGTGCAACAGTACTCACCCCCAGTTTCTTACTCCGTATCCTCACGTATCCCTGCTTGACTATATCGTTGAAGTTAGAAGCCATGGTGAGAGGGAAGCTGGCGGCTTCCTGTCCGAAAGAAGGAAAAAGAAAAGAAAAATAAAGTAACCTCTCTCTTTCTCTCTTTTTTTAATTTTGAGTAGCGGAATCTTTTACTTGAGGCTCGGTCCGTGTGACATCCAGCAGGAGGAGAGCGAGAGGTGGGCAACCTGCTCCGGTGTCAGCCAGTATGACGCTTGGGTTGGCCGGCTTCAGCGGCGCGATCCATCCGGGAGAGGAGGGAGATACCATTCGTCAGCTGATTCACTTCAGCCGGAGAGGAGAGCAGAGGCGCGCTTCCTGGACCACACCACCACGCACCGGCGAGGGGGGCGTGGAGGATATGTGCTGAGGAAGGTGGTGGTGGGAGGGGGGGGGGGGTCATTTTTATTTAGTTTCATATTAAAAGCCGACTTTGTTTAAAAACTAAACCCCCTTCCTCTCCCTTTCCCTTTTGCAATCGTTGTAATTCAAAAAGTCACTTAGTGGGAGTCATACCTACTGTGATTAATATCCCCGAGGAATCAGTGGGAACTGTAATGGTTGTCTACTGGATTAGTTGGCATTAGTCCAAAATGCTGGACTCTATTTCCTCTGTTAGTCTATTTTAGCAGGACTAAGCTCTCAGTCTCAGAACATTGTGCCCATTTTATTGTAGCCTTATAAAATAATGTTTTTCATGACAGGCAGCACGATCTTTAACCCTTTATGGTTTACTCATGGAAACACATGGAAATTTAAAATTTCAACCCTAGAGCATCTTACATGACTTTTTTTTTTTTTTTTACTTGTGTGCCTTTTTCCAATTTTATTTTCATTTTTATGGCAAATCTAGTTCAGTGAAATAACCATAATATGGTTCCTCAGCCCCTTTTAGGGTATACGTTTTTCCAAAAAAGTGTGTATATAAAAAACATAGAAAAACACATTAATTTAAAGTAACGTTTATTTAAGAACTTTTTTTTTCATTCACAATGGAAATGTCCAAAACTGTAACAAACATATTAAAGCACAGCCCTGACCAGTCACAGGCAGCTGCTTCACAGTAACATGGTAACATGCTGTATCATGGTAACATGCTGTATCATGGTAACATGATATTTTCTTCAAAGACTTAAGTTCATTTCAGTTCACCTACTGAACTGAGCATGTGTATACACCTTAATACAGGCTGTTCTATTTTATGGCATACCACTTGATAGGTTGACTTCCATAAAAGAGCCAAGCAGACAGCTGCAAAAGAAAAACAGGTTTTTGTCAATATCCAGCCAGACTTGAAGGAAAACAATAACACTGAAGTGTTGAGCTACTGAAAACAAAATACACTGACATGGGAATTGTAAATATATGACAAGAAGTCAAAAAACAACATAATAACTACTGATGGGACCAATTTTTCCTAAATAAATTACAAATGCCCAATTACTAAATTAATTTAAAATAATAACACTAAGTAAAAATAAACACCATTATGTGCAATTTAAGTAGTTAAACTATAAGATCATCAGAAAAAAGATCCCACTGTTCCCTTTCTAGCCTGAAAATGTTGAAAATTGGTTACATTTCTCATCCGATCACTGTATAGTGTTATAGAAATTAGAGGAAACATCCAAATATACCATTTACTACTGGTCTATATTTTAATAGTGTATTTTTGTTAGTAAATAACACAAGTATGGCTCCTTAAATGCATCTGGTGCGTGCCTAAAAATGGACTATCACTGTTATGGTAGGTCAACAGGGCACACGATCAAATATGGTGCCACCATTTTTATGTTACAAATATCACTCATTTCTAGAAATCCAGCATTAACAACACCCATCTCAACATTTATAATAATTGTTTAACTGTATAATGCATGGGTTTCATCAGTTTACCACAATTGGTTTCGATGCTATGACCACAAGTGTGGTAGGTGTAAAAAACCCAGTTTCCTAAATTCTTGAAAAACTCCGGAGTTCAAAATGCTCCAGGCCACTGCTGATTGGTCAGATCCATTAATATCCCTATCACATTGCCTGATCTTTGCTGGTTAGTCAATCCAAATTTCAATGTCTGTTTAAGTTCCTTGCCCATATTTTCTTGGATTAAATAAATAGCTCAGCCTTCATCTTACAAATAAAAGGCTAAATTTACTCATATGACTCCATTTATTTTAATAATTATAACAGAATTATAATATAGTCTTTTTATTATGTTATTTAATGATTCTCACCAAAAATGGTTGAGATCCCAATGTCATCTTCCTGATGAAAACTGTGCTACTAGGCCAAAAACTGAACCGTAGAGTGTAGAATAGAGGTAAATAAGGAGTTAAATGTATATTCTTTAAAACAATGACAATTAATATGTTTGGTACATTGTTGTGTACCGTGACTGCTGAAGACAGTTATCAACACGTCTCCTCCAAGTACACAGACTAACATAACCAGCCTGTTTAAAAAGTAAAACCACAAACAAACAAAACATTATGTACATTTTTTTTCATCTAAATTCTATTTCATTTGTGACACGATGAAATTAACATTGGACTCTCCGAATCTGTGATCCTGTGATGTCGGCATCAACTCGGGAATGCTCTTACATACGTGAGTCCGCTCAGAGGGACCTGTTAGCTCGTATGACGGACCTGAGAGAATGAGGTTGAGACAATAATGAGGTGCTGATTGTTTCTTTGACTTATTCGTTCTATAAAGAAACTTCTTATAAAGATATGGTAGAAAGCCATTCTTGAACACAAACTTTCACTTAAAAGAAAGTCGAACAAGGATGTTTAGGCAACGTTGGAGGTGTGACCATTGTGGTAACATCTGCAACCTCAAACTTATTTTTAAACTGTTTTTCAACCACAGCTAGATGTTGAGAAAAGGCTGCCAGCCCACAGTTATTAAGTGTTTTCTGGGTTGTAACTTCAGATTTTTCTTTCTTTCTTTTTTTTTAACATTAAGTTAGGTTAGTCTGTTTTAGTTAGTTTTGAAAGTTGCACGCTACCTAAAATTGTGTACAGTAAAACTTTTTCCTTATTTCCTAACGTGAAACGCGAATTGTTACGCCTTGATCCTAGTGTACCTTCCAATACAAGTATTTTTAGATAAATAAACGTACAAAGTCACCAGCAGGTTTGCAAAGTTTAACTTTTTTTCATCCTTTTCTAAAAAATCACCGTTAGGGTTGCATCAGGAAGGGCATCCAGTGTAAAACGCTGCCAAATCAAACAGGGGGAGCTGCCTTTGTGAGGGAAGAGAGCAGCAAAAAAGTAGCGTCTTTTTCTGTTTCTTATATCAGTTAATAGAGAAAACAACCAGCAGAGTAACCAGTTCAAGTGATTATTTGTTGCTAGCCCCATATAATAGATATCAGGTTGTGACTCAACAACAATTAGCCAAAACTGATTTACCTGCAATATCTTGATGTTCCTTTGTTCTGTACAGACTTGGACTGTTTTAGTCATTTTTGGCATTCGCCATTCATCCTTTTTATCACTAAATTTGCGTATAAGCTGGTGCTCAAGGTCAAGATTAAGATGCTCTCCTTGATCACTGTTAACATGCAGTGAATTCAATAAGACTACTTGTTTACTGAATTTTGCTGTAACTTTTGAAACCTGAAGTAACCACTCAAATTCAGTCCTCGGCTCTCTACTCCTCAACAATATTCAAAGAAAATATGCAAATACACAACAGAGCTTGGTGTTCAGACTAATTTGCGACGCACTTTGTACCTTGCCTTTTGGTTATTACCTGTCTCAGTATGAATAGCATTTCCATATTTTTCACCAGACAGTCCACTAATAAGGAAATACAATTTGAGATTGCTAGTGTGCGAGCTCTGTGTTTTGTCATTATTAGGCGGCCCCGAATTGATGTTGTTTGATTTGCTGAATAATGCAACCAGATAGGTGAGTGCCCTATTAAAGGATCAAATGAATAGTAGGAAAGCAGACAGTAGAAAGCATGGCACCGCCGGCTGGAGCTTGTAAGTAGCAGATACAATGCTGCAGATTGGCAATCAAAAAGCACCGAAAATAAAAGCACAGAAGCAAATTCTGATCCCTGCCAGAGCTTTAATCCTGATGTAGTGAGAGGCGTAGCTCAGGTTGTACAGCCGTAGCTTGTGAAATCCTTGGTATGAGACAGCAGATGCTTCAGGTGCAGTGATACGAGTGGCTGTCATTGCTTATGTTGTTTAAAATGTGTCTGTGTGTGTGTGTGTGTGGGGGGGGGTGGCTTATGTAACAGAGTTATATAAAGTATACAAAATTCTACATAAAGATCAAAGGCTTTTAATTCCTGGAGAGGTTTTTCCAGATTCTTTTGTCTAACACTTTGGCATTCTAACAAGAAAGCCACAGATTTCATTGTAAAAATGAGGACAGAAACACTCCAGAGCAGCCTGTGCTTTTTCCGGTTTATCCCGGCACAGTTATCCTATTGCGAGTACTAATTTATTTATTTATTGTGTTTCACCGAAAATGAAATATCCCCTGCTGGTTGGAGGCCCTTTTTCAGTGCGGCATTGACGGCTGCCACTTTGAGAAGTGTCATCCTGTCAAGTGTCAGCTTTTAAGACCAGAAGTAAAACTCAGTTTCTGTTTTTCTATTCTTGTTTTTTTTTTTTTGTGTCGCTTTCTTCACATTCACCGGGGCACGCAGAACAGCAAGCTGCCACCCCTCCAACAAACAGCTTGACTTTGATAGTCTTCGTGTCTCTGTGGATGTGTCCTCAAATTTCAGACTTGTCAAAGTTGTTTTGTCTTCATAATCCTCTTTGTACAACATGGCGCTCTTCCATTCCCACTGCCTTGTCATCCTCTCTCTAAGAAAACAATGCTGACAGCAACAATTTCTTATTTATTGCATTAAATATTGTGCTCTGGTGACTGTCATTACCAAGGACTGTCCTAGTTTTTGGGGAAATAATTGCCTGCCGTGATACAAGACCAGCAATCATTTGGTCTCCGGTTGGTATCAGGTAGAGGGGCAGCCTCCACAGCGTGCAGGCTGCCACGCAAATCAACATACGGCCCCGTCATACATGAACGGCTGCCAACGGGGGTCAGATGTGGCGAGACTCGCTCAGGAGCAGAGAGACCTTCACCAAGGTCAGTAACCAAAATCTGCTGAGCTGTGGAAAACAACTCCTTTCCAATATGGCAACTTATCAAATATTGACCTCATAATCATCACCATTTTTCATACACGTTTCGCATCACCTGTCTAATTCCC